GGGGCGGGGGGGGTGTGCGATGCTTTCTTCTGGTTTTTGTGTATTTCCAACGAAGCAGCAGCAGAAAATCATTCTCGGAACAGGCGCCGAGCGTGAGAGAAGTAAGGTAGCGTTTTCCCATGCGGGTCACTTCCACTGTTGTGCTTTATCTAGCCAGCTTCTCGGTGCAGTCTTTCTTCTTGATTTTTTTTTTTTTTTTGGACTTGAAGGGAACATTTTTAGAGTATGGCCAGGGTGTGAGAAACACGCCAAAAAGCACAAAGGTGTCCTTTAACTCTGCTATTTCTTTCTCTCCCCTCTCCCCTTTTAATCCTGCCAGCCTGTGTGATTTGACTTCTTCCCGCTTCCGTTTATCTCAAAGTAAAGGATTACTTTCCTGTGGCGTCTCCTTCCCTTGGAGGTTGCACTGAAGAGTCTTTCACCCTTTGAAGGAGCGGAATGGCAGAGTTAAGGAGGGAATCAATTCTTACACAAGGAGTATTTTTTTTTTCCTGCCCCAAATAAAAAAAAAAAAAAGTGGGTCCACCTGCTGTGTTAAAGAGAAGAAAAAATTAATAAGAATTCCATTCTGGCTAGATTGGTTTTGCTGCATCGTCCGGCCGGGGCCACCGCTTTGCTTTGTCACTTGCAGTTGAGTTTCTCTCCCCGCTGCGTTGTGTCCAGCACTCACCAGGACTTTGCCATCCCGTTCTTCAAACGAAAGCCTACGGCCGAAGGGATGCGGCTGAGCTGCGCGTTACCGGCCCGCCAGCCCTCTGGCCGCGGTGCATGGACTGCTGCTGGACAGCCACGGGTGTTTTTCTTTCTTTCCCTGCTGGTCTGCAAAACCAAACCTGTTCTGCAGCGGAGCAGGGAAGGAGTAGGGCCAAGGAGATGCGATGGCCGAGGAGCGCGGTGGTCCATAGGGCGAGCACCCCGGAGAGCCTCGCTGGGGCAGTCCGAACGAGCATCTCGGGGAACGCTGCGGTCCCGTCTCTTCCTCTCCACGTGAAGACGACTGGAGGTTAGGCAGCCGATTCTTCTGCAGGCATTCCCGTTTCTGTAACCTTGCCTGCCTCCAGCGCTTCTGCTCGTCAGGGAAAGCTGGAAGATACAGGAGAGTTGAAGGCGAGGAGCTTTTGTCCAGAAAACTTTGTCCTCCTGCTTGGTGGGGTCTTACACCTGGTCGGTGCACGAGTTTCTGAAGCAGCGGGCGGTGGCGATGTCCGAGCTCAAGCCTCGCTTAGGCTCCGATTCCAACAAACCTCCCTTAGCTTGTGAATTCGTGCACCGAAGTGGCTTTCACCGGAGCCGCAGAAATCTGGGAGGGAGCCTTAGGCTGCGTGGAGGAACCGGGACGCCGCGCTTTCCTCGGGCCCGCCGTGAGATTTGTCGCTGCAAAACCCGGTCGATGCCAGACCCGCCACCGGCATCGCCAGCCGGCCGTTAGGCAAATTTCGGTGTTCTCGGGGGCAAGGCTGAATTTCCCCGCGCCCACCCGGCGCCTCTCCCGGCAGCGCGCCGAGCCACGGGGCTTGGTGGGACTTCGTCGCCAGCTGCGGCATGCGAGGAGCCCGAAACTCGGATGACAGAAGAGGCAGCAGCTACAAACCCAGGATGAGTAAATTCTTCCATGGAAACACTTCTCCTTCTGATCCTTAATATTTTGAACGGGGTTTTTTTTTTGTTGTTGCTTTGGGGGGGGAGGGGGATAGAGATGGATCTCAATCTTTATACATCTGCTATAAGATATTTTTGCAAACAGAGTTGTATACAAAGATGTATTGTGTACATTTACATGTATATTCTGGAACTTCTAAAATTTGAATATAAAAACTGAAAATATTTAATGAATATCCAAACTGTGAGACCCAATTAGCATTCAACAACTTTCCGCTTCACTTTTCTTTTGGACTGTGTTAAAGAATTGTAGTCGAATCTGCCTTTTTTTTTCTTTTTAGAGGTTATGAAGCTAGGCAAATTTTGTGCTTTTTGGGTTAATAGAAACCAGTTCTAGGTGATTAAGTATGATCTTAACTTATTGATACTGTGTTTTACTTTGTAATATTGTACTGTGGATAAAACTATATTGAGCCATGGAGTTGGAGTTTACAAAAGAGCTTTTCACTTTGCCAAAATGTTACAATTTAAAGGCAGCATAGTCTTCAGCTTTCCTAATCTTTTCTTAAGAGCTAGTGTCTTTTTTGTACACTAAAAAGCTGAATGCTGATTTTGCAACATATAATAAATTCACTGTATTGGAAAACAAGCAAACAATAAGGTTGTATATTTCTTTTCAGTGCTTCTTACTGCAAGAAAACTCAAAAGGGAAAGGTGATAAATGGCTGGCGTGGAGTTTGAAAGCAGGACACTTAAAGGAACCGAGTCAGTCGAGTGAGTTAAAGTATCAGAGCAGTAGGTAAGAAACACGAGGAGGAAAAGGTGCTCGCTGTGGGCCATCCATTTTCTAGCCGCCTGCTGCGTACGGGCAGAGCTCCTGCCCAGAAACGCCGCAGCGGAGCAGCCGTGCGCTCGGGACCATCTTTCTGGTGCTCCGGTGGGATCAGCCTCGCCACGCGGCGGCAGGAGCCGGGGCTCTTCCCCCTCCAAAGGCATCAGCGCCCCGTGTTTTGGGGAGGGAAAGCCGCTTTTGAAGGGGCGGCCGGCGCTGGTGCCGGCGTGGAGGTTGGCTTTAGAGGGGAGTCCTATGAGCACAGAGTGTGGCAGCCCGGCAGACGGGGTGCGGCGGGAGGGCCCAGAGCTGGTGCCGGCAAGCGAGAGGGTCTTGCTGCTTCCCTTGGGATCGACGATGCTGGAACTCCTGACGTCGTGGTGGCTCCTGGGCAGCGTCCAGACCTGGTCCAGGTGCCTCCCCTCAGCCGCTTTACATCTGTGGCTGCTGCCTTCCCCTCCCGGTGAGCCGAGCTGGGCTTGACGCCTGAGCTCGCTTGCGTGGGGGGTGAGTCACATCCGTAGGGAGCTGGAGCAGGGACGTCGACGCTGCCAGAGCGACGAGGTGGGGATGAGCCTGGCATAGGTTTGGCCGTGGCACTGCCCAGCCACGCTGCTGGAGCTCCCACCTCCGCCCGCGCGTCTGAACCATCCGGCTACAGCTCTGGGTACAAAGCGCATCTTGGTTGTAGCGAGACTCTCTCCCTTTTTTCTCTGCCCTCGCGGTGGCTGCTTGCTCTGGTCCTGGCTTCTGCAGCATCCCTGGGTCTGCTGCTCGCTGCGGCTGGAGCAGGCAAAAGAAAATAGAGTGTGAAAACACACCAGGAACTGCTCGGTAGTGCAATACCCTCTGAATAGTTCTGTTCTGCTTGAGTGGTTGCTGTGCTGCCTGCTTTGGGACCCCCCTCTCTAATAGTGGGTGGCAGTCACAGGTTTGCTGGTTTTGAGGCCAAAAGTGCAGGTCTTGCCTGATCCACCCGTGTACACAACGAGCCCGTGTTCGGCTGCAGCTCACTTCGCTTCAGTGCGGGGTTCTGGATTCTACCTCCAAAACGGCAAAATATGGAGAAAGGGAAAATAATCCCGTGACCAAATAACATCTTGCAAATGTCTTGGCTTTTTTTTAAAGGTGAGGGGGGAGCAGGGAGAGCTCTGCTCAGACCTGTTGCGCCAGCCTTGACCTTGGAGCTCACGCATCAAGAGCACCCGCGCTGGGAGGCGATGCTCCCACGGCCGGCGAGGGTTTGCTGGCGTGGGGCAAGAGCCAAGACACGTTGGGCAAGCTGATGCTCTCGCAAATCCCCAAATGGTCAGTTTTTTGCTTCCAAATGCCACTTCTGAGACAAGCTACACCCCCTGCGCCCCCGTTTACCATCTTGAATTCCTCACGCCTGTGAGCTTCGCCCCTGGGGAGTTCCGAGTATAAAGGCTGGGTGGTGGGACCTGTGTGGGGACACTCGCGCAGGCAGGGTCC